GATGAGTTCAGATACAGTAATTGAACGATCCATTTTCCAAAAATGGAAAGAAAGGGTTGAATGTTTGAGCTTGCTTATTAGGAATTAATAAAGATGAGGATTCCATCGTAAAATGTTACAAATCCTCGGAATGAAGCAAGATGAGACCGTCAGAGATTCCAACTCAGACCGATCTGTCAATCTCTTTGAGAAGACTTCTTTTCAAAGAGGAATTCAGTTAGCAAAACACGTTCCTTGGAACGGAGGAGATCTTCTAACCGAACGAACGGAAATAGATTATATACTTTAAGCAGGGGGATTCTTTTTTTGATAAATTTCTTAAGCTATTCATATGATTTAATTAATTGATTAATACCCTTACTGTTTTAAAATTACGAACGCTACGTTTACTGTTTATGACAATTGTCTATCTAAACATTATCATTTTAAAATTGACTAATACTATTCTTATTATTTCTGACAATTGTTTAAAAATTATCAGGGTCACTAAATATGATAAAAAATATAAAAATGACCGTTTTACCCTTAAATTCCACCGGATGGAGCCATCGGAGAGAACAGCAGCAGAGATCTGAGATAAAAGCTACTTGTTTCTGATCTGAAACCCAGATTAGAAACAATCTCCAGTGAGGGAGGTTCGGTCCAAATCGCCACTGCTAAGAGTTGCAGCGGCGATGGTAGGGGAGGAAAAACATGAAAGGTGAGGTTGAAGAAGGAGAGAGAGAGAAAGCGTCGTTATAGCTAAGAGTTATCGTTCTTTGATTCACCTTCGCCGTCGTCGTCCTCATCGGCGATAGCCTCCTTTTTCAGAATATCAAAGCTGAAGGCAAAGAGATCGCCGCCGCCGGGACGCCTGTCGTGAGTTGAAGAAGAATCATATTCGGATGGAGGTGTTTCCTCACTCGCTTGTTAACCACGCTCAGTATTCCAGCTCGTACTCTGTTCAGGAGTTAGTAGAAGCTCGTTAACCACGCTCATTGCTCCAGCTTTGTTGCTGCGATGCTCGAATGTTGCTCAGATACAGCCGAACCTGAGAGGAAAAGGACCTCCCTTAGTGGGGAGAATGCCTCTGATTAATCAAAGAACTTGAAACCTGTAGATAATTTGCATCTTCGTTTGGTAGATAAGCATCAACGGCCTGGCAAAACAGGTGGGAAGCTATCCGCTAATGACTCCCGTTAGTTGATTTACAGAGTTTCAGAACCTCCGGCGAAAACTAGACCGAAGACAGTCGTGTTGTAGGGTCTGGACGCCATTGCAAAACCGGCGGAGCTTCCAATCTCTTTCAATGATTTAGCCTGGTCATGGCGCTTGGAAGAAGGCCCTAGAAGCACTGAAGAAGAGGAATTGAATCGTCAAAGCCGAAAAATTAGCCTTTTCTTTTTTCTCCCTCAACTGATCACGAACGTTGCGAAAATTTTTAATCAGAGCGAAAAATTTCTCCATCTTTTCCTCATTGTCATCATCGACTTCTTCTGCTTCCACGGCGACCAGCAGTGGGAGAAAAAAAAAGGACGGAAGCAACTCGACACAACTTCGGCTTCGAGTGGGTAGTAAAAATTAGAGCACTTGCAAGTGACGGAGCCGGAGACGCTAACGTAACATGATCTTACGTTTACGCTATCAATTTTTAAATGATAAGGGTATAGTCGGTCAATTAGCTAAACCATATGAGAATCAATAGCATAAAATTTAGTTTATAGGTTTGTAGGTTGATATATAAAACTAAGGACCTGTTTGGCAAGTCTTTTTTGAAAGATCTTCTAATAGTTCTGACAGTCAAAAAATGCATTGAGCTTTTGCATGAAAATCTGAGCAGTGCGAAGCTATTTTGGCAGACATATGTCTTTCCGTGTCTTTTCACACAAGAATAAAATGTGAAAGACATGAAAAGCTTCATTTGAAGTTTCTCGAAATCAGTCAAAATGAGTTTTTGTGTCTTTTCGGCCCTTCGGTTTTTGGTGGCTAGATCTTCTACGAACCAAACGGAAATAGTCCGAAAATTGATCTACCTGGCTTGTAAACAACTGAAAGACCGCATGAAAAAATGCGCCAAACGGGCCCTAAAACAATTAGTTCATGAGGGGTAGAAAAAAATATCCTTATGATTTTTTTATTTCACCGCCTAAGCACTTAGGCATTGGGCGCCCCATGGTTGCCTAACCTTGTCTTGGCACATTGAAAACTAAATCCGATTCCAAACATGATTAAATGGAAAGGGGATATTGAACTCAACTCAACCCATCCCATATATAGTGCATCCATACTCAACCAAGCCTATATATAATGAAAGGTCAATGGGTCATCTTTAACTCAGAGTTACCTCAACCCAAACCTGATCACCAGAAGTCCAATTAAGGCTAACCAAATAAACACTGTGACTGAACTGAAAATCTTATTAGAGCAGGTTGTATTTAGTATTATTGCCCATTCTACTTGCAATGTTTTAGGTTGGTCAATACAAATTTTATTAAAATATAATTTTTCAACCACAAATGATTTGAGTTATCAATACAACATTTGGTATTATTGATGATTCTTCAAGAAACATGCATCAAATTTGATGTTTCTATTATAGATGTCAACACCCAATCTAATGCCTATATATTTTTAATAGAAGTAATTATTTGGCAAGATATAATAAAGCACTTTCTCAAAAGTTTGTATTAACCAATGTAAAACATTGCAAGTAGAAGTGACAATGGTACCAAATACAACATTTGTCTTCATAGTGAATAAGATTTGAAGGAAGTCAATGACTCCTTAACAATTGAAGCTGAAACTGGGTGGTTCACTATATTCTTGAATATTTTATTTATTTAATTATTTTATCCACTAAAATATAAAGCAGCAAGTCATTCAATTACTGTGAACAAACTAGAAATTATTAAAAATAGTAAATTGCAATTTTACTAAAACATCTGCCTCGGGGAAGCTGTGATAAATTTTTCTTTTCTACTGGGGTGGAAACATCACATCATCCATCTTGAATCCTTTGCATGGGTAGCTGCTTCCGCCAGTCTATTATTTCTTTTCTCGTGAGTTAGCATTTGAAAGGTCTGATGAGCAAGAGAGGGAAGTTCTTTGGGGACTGATTCCCAAGGTTGTTTCTGGTATTTGTGGAGAGAAAGGAATTCCTAGATCTTTAAGAGCTTGAGATCAGATGATCATATCATATTGGGTAAAATTAAAGAAATGTTTTTCTCTTGGCTGTCAGATTATAAGGAGTTTAGAGGGCTAGAATATCATAGATTTTTTTATAAGGACATTTTATTTTCTTGGTAATATTTGCTAACAAAAGCTGTAGGTCCTGTACACCAATGGGTGTACATGGTCTATAGTTATTTGATATTACTATAGTAGGACCTAAAGCTCAGTTTGGAAGGAGTATAAATACAAATATATAGAATGTAAAACCTTATATTTTGTATGTATTTGTATTGCACATATTTGTATTTGTATTCATTCCAAATTTAACCTAATGCATTTACACTAATGCAAATAAAATTCATGTGCACCTTACATAAACAAGACAATTAAATCTAAAAGCATATGTCTATCACACTTCACACACACCAAACAAAGTTATGTCTAAAACAAGACAAACTTCCTATTTGCACTATTATGCATTTATATTAGTACAAATGAAATTCTCACCACAAACAAACTAACATGTACCTTACAACTAAGGGGTACTAGTTGGGTCTAATTTGAATTTACACAACTTCAGGCCTGGTCCCTAAAGCTGGGTGCATTAAAATTTTAAAAAATGCTCAACCCGAATCTACCCAAGTTGCAACTTTATCCACAATTGGTCATTACTCTGATCTGTCCTTGGGCTTTAACAAATCGGAGTGATCCGAATCTGATCGGATTCTATTATCCAATCCGAAGATCTGTAGAAGGGTTATCCGAATTCGACCAAATAGAATTGGATCTCGGATCAGATCATGATCCGATCCATTTGCACCCCTAACATAGATCCTATGGTAATTTCCTAGGTATTATAACCATATTTCCTTAATAATTATTCATAATTTTCATAAGAAAAGTATAGAGTTCATGTTAAAGTATAGAAAATCAACATATTCATGAGAAGAAAAAAAAGAAAGAAAAGAAAATTCAATTTATTATAGGAAAAAATGTGTTGATTAGATAAAATTTTAAGTTTTTCCTTACTTATTGATTCAGGTTTTAAAGTCTTTGAGGGTTCAATACAGCATTTAGCAATGTTTGTATTGATAAAACCTTAACAAATAAAAAAATAATTAATAAAAAGAAATTAGTATATAAACACACAAAATGAATATTTTAGTTTAATAAACCCTATTTTATAATTATAATATCAAAAAATAAAGAATAAAAAAGTATTTTATAATACATAGTGCAAAACTGCTTAATGATTAGACAATACGATCCTCAAAGGGCACCTTGTCGACTAGGCATCGCCTTGACAACTATGATGATATTATTTATATATTAAAAGTTTTTTTTTTATTTTAAGAAAATTTATTTTTCAAATAATACTATGAATTAAAAATTTTCAGAGATTCGAATCCCCACGGGGAACCCATCAGTGTCGAAAATCGGAGATGGAGGACCATTTTATCCCCGACGGAGTTGGGGACGGGGATTTATTTAAGAATCGGGGTCGGGGACGGGGAATATGATCCCCACCCCGAACCCGCCCAATTGCCATTCCTATTCGTTCATCTCTTGCTAATTGCATTTCCTCAAAACGAGTCAGTGAACTGATCTTGTTGGACTCGTCAGAAGCTAAAAGCCCAAAACCCCGTCAAAAGCCAACTGTTGGAAATCCCATTTCATCAGTGGATTTGCTTCCCGTAATGCTACAAGTGGACTACGGAGCTACGAATGTGAAAAACTATCGATTCAAGGACTCTGTCTCAGTCTCAGCTTGATTTTAGTATATAAATAAAACAAACCATCTGTTCTTCGCTTTACTACTCAATCTAGCTACAAATCAGCTGCATGTCACCATGGAAAGCTCTCCATTGATTGTGATGGAGGGAAGGAAGTTGAGTCTCTTTCTCTTTGCTTTGTGCTCTCTTCTTGGGCTGCCCTTGTCGGCCGGAGTTGAATATATATCTGCAGTGGGTGATCCTGGAATGAAACGAGATGGTCTGAGAGTGGCAATCGAGGCATGGAATCAGTGCAACGAGGTCGGAGAAGAAGCTCCCAATATGGGAAGCCCAAGGGCCGCGGATTGCTTCGACGTCGACACTTCTGCGTCACCTGGTGAGCTTCTTCTTCTCTTCATCATCTTCTTCTTCTTCTTCTTAATTCAGTTCATGACAGACTGAAACTTATCGTTGGCTTTGAAATCCTACTCTGAAGTCAAGTTGGTACACAAGATAACTGAGAGAGACAACAAGCTGGGCTTAGCTAGTCCCTCTCGTGGAGGGTTGATGTCCGACGATGTAGACGATTACGCAGCTGAGAAGGAGATATACTTGGGCAACAAATGCCAGGTAGAGGATCAGCCGAGGCCATGGCAGTTCTGGATGATCATGCTCAAGAGTGGCAACATGGACTCATTAGCGGCTCTATGCCCAGAGAATGGGAAGCCTTCAAAGGCCTTTCCGCCACAGTCAAGGTTCCCATGCTTCGGTAAAGGGTGCATGAATATGCCCTTGATCCATCACAACTTCACCAGTTTGCAGAAAGGAGAGAAGGGGGCTAGTGTGTTAAGGGGAGCTTTCTATGGGACATGGGACCTGGATGCTGATGTTACAAGAGGGCTGGTTTCAAACACCATTTCTTACTACTCTGTGGATTGGGAAAAGGAAATTGGCAAGGGAAGCTGGGTCTTCCATCATGTGCTGAAGACTTCACACAAGTATCCATGGCTAATGCTCTACTTGAGATCAGATGCCACAACTGGATTTTCTGGTGGATACCATTACCCAACAAGGGGGATGTCCAAGATTGTAAGTTTCTCTTTTAATTCCTGATGATCAATTGAATCCATATCTACTATTATCTTTAATTATATATGTTTGATGATGACGATTACCCAATAAGGGGGATGCATGTCTGATAAGATTCTAAATTTCTCTTTGAATTCTGGATGATCAAGAGAACCCATCTACTATTATCATTATATATGCTATGTGGAAGTGTGACAAGTAGGTCAGGTCACAAATTTCCACTGTATTCATTCTGACTTTTGATATATTCCCTTTGTCATCATCAGTTGATCAATTCTTAGTAAGAATGAAGACCAAATAAACTGTTGTTATTAATAGATTCTAAACTCACCCAATTTCAAAGTAAGGTTCACACTAGATGTAAAGGGAGGGGTCTGAAGTTCCAAATTGGAAGTGACTATTTGTTCACAATCATCCAGCTTATCAATTCCATCACTTTTGTATTTTCCTTTGTCATAATCTGTTGATCAAGTCTGACTAAGAATGAAGAACAACAATTAAACTGCTCTTGTTTACAGATTCCAAAGTCACCAAATTTCAAAGTAAGGTTCACACTGGATATAAAGAAAGGTGGGAGTTCTAAGAGCCAGTTCTACCTTATGGACATAGGAAGCTGTTGGAAGAACAATGGGCAACCTTGCGATGGCGATGTGACGACCGATGTCACCAGATACAGTGAGATGATCATCAACCCCAGAACTGAGTCATGGTGCCGCCCTGATAATCTTAAGTTCTGCCCACCTTACCACACCCTGCCCAATGGAAAAAGAATCCATCGCACAGACAAGGCCAAGTATCCATATGAGGCTTATCACATGTATTGTGCCCCTGGACATGCACAGCATGTAGAGGAGCCATACAATTTATGCGATCCATACGGCAATCCACAAGCCCAGGAGGTAGTGCAGACACTGCCACACCCAGTTTGGGGAGAATATGGGTATCCCACAAAGAAGGGTGAGGGGTGGATTGGAGATGCCCGGACCTGGGATCTTGATGTGGGAAGGTTGTCTCAGTCACTTTATTTTTACCAGGTTTGTGCTACTTTCAGGTCCTGTTCGATCAAGTGCATTTATCCATGTTCTTTTATTTTTTTGGAAGGATCATTTTATTTATAAAAAAACTCATCATTAAATGAGACATTTTTGTCACATCCAAGTGTTGACAAATTTCTCCCATGTGGGTAAGTTATTTATCTAGTGCCGTCGGAGATGGATATCACTTACCCACGTAAATGATACCCAGGAAAATAAATCTTTCCTAATCCCCACATAAATCTGAAAAATGAACATGAGGTTTTTGATCAATGAAAACTAAAATCCCTTAATACTATGATCTGTTGAACTTTTATTCAGTTTGTATTAATTCAGCATTTTTATGAAGTATTAACAGTGAAACTTACTGAGTATGCAGGATCCAGGTACTAAGCCTGTAGATAGATACTGGCCTTCTATTAACGTGGGAACTGAGATCTATATAAGTGAGAATGAAGTTGCAGAGTGGACTGTCAGCGGCTTCGAGATTGTTGTTCCAAAAGATGACTATTGAAGATGTGATCCAAGAGTAGTCGTTTCTCCTGGTGTACACTGTACACAGGTTTTATACAGAAGGACATGGAGTTTATCAGTTGCTAACAATCCTATTTAATTAAGATGTTTTCCAAGAGAAATCTAATCTTCATGGAGATGTAGAGGAACGCAATTTATGTGCATTTCATTCCAAAATCTTGGTGGGAAGAAGAACGCGAAGGATTGGATATCATCATGATTGACAAAACAATTCTACCACAGTATACAAGGTCCTAAATCTTGTTTATATTTTAGTTAAGTAGTTTACTGTATTGTTTTTTTTTTTTTTTTGAATTGTATGTTGGCTGCAGATTGACCTAAATTGGTCAATTTCATGTGTTTAAAGTGTAATTAGAATGAATTAATTTAATTAATCTAACCAGCTTGATGAACCTATTGATTGACTTTGTATGGTCTCTTTCTAATTGGGGGTCTAAGGATTCTAACAATAATACTAAGGCCCCTTTCCTTTTTCAGTAAGTTACTTACCCAGGTAAATGCAGTTACTTGGGAAACACTTACTCGGGTAAGTGTATTTCCCTATGTTCTTTTATTTCTCATGTAAATAGGGAAATGACCATTTTATTTATAAAAATCCATTATTAAAATGGGCATTTTTATCCCATTCAAGTGTTGGCAACTTTCTCCCTAGGTGGGAAAGTTATTTACCCACCTAGGACATGGGTATCACTTATAAATTTTCCTCGATCCCCACATAAATCTGAAAAAAGAACATGAGATTCTTGGTCCCCCCTCTCAAAATCTGAAAAAAAAAATGCCCCCTAAGGATTAATTACTTATATACACTCTGTACATTTTGGAAACTACTTATATATACCTGAACTTTCAAAAACAACTTATATATATGCCCTTCTTGGCTGTTCCCACAAACATGACCATCGTTAGTATACTATTTAGAGCTAACTGTTAATACTTTATTCCAAATGCATTCATAATACCAATATTACTCTAGATTCTATGACAAAAAACAAAAACCCAAAACTCAGAAACAGAAGTGAGTTTTGCCGGTTCTATGTAACTTGTATTCAGAATGTTCATTTCTTAAGCCAATATTCAGAACAGTGTCATCGTCCTCAACGAAAACCCTACCGCTGAGTTAATTTCAAAGTTCAAACATTATTCATTTTTGTAATACTAAATAAAGGTTTCATGTGTTTGGAACATGACATATTCACTCATGTTTGGTTATATAGGGGGCGTGCTATTTTTAGATTTTGAGAGGGGGAAAAGTTGGTCAATGGGATTTTGGTTCCCATTGACAGAGAAGACCATGTTCATTTTTTAGATTAATGTGGGGACCAAAGAAAGTTTATTTTTTTGGGTATCACTTACCTGGTAAGTGGTACCTATCTCTTGAGTGGATAAATAACTTTCACACCTAGGAGGAAAGTTGCTAAAACTTGAATGTGACAAAAATGTTCCTTTCAATGATGGATTTTTATGACTAAAATGGTCATTACCTTATTTATTTGAGAAATAAAAGAACTTGAATAAATGTACTTATCCGGATAAATGTTTCCCAGGAAAAACTTACCCAGGTGATTACATTTACCTGAGTAAATAATTTATCGAATAAATGAATGGAGCTTTTAATGCATGACAAGCAGCAGATCGTGAGTGCTCTAGAACTTGTGAGCCTTTGATAGAGAGGTTTTTCAATCAGAACGGGAAAGTTTCCTATCACCTACTCAACCACCATTTGGTAAGTCAGGCCAAATGGTCTTGTGGAGTTAGGGTTCTTTTCTTCAGGGTGAATGGGATGCAAGTACTTGGATAATTGGAGAAATTAGAGAGAGATTGAAAACATGAAAATAAACTAACTTGATTAATTTCAAGCATAAATTACAATGACTTGGATTGTGTTTGGATAAGTTTTAGAACTTGTGCTTCCGAAGCCCAAAAACATAAAAAAGTCTCATTTTAGGATTTATGCTTTGGGGCTTAAAAAGAATTTTGGTTTTAAATTGTTATGTTTTTCAAAAGCAATAAAAATACTTTTTGGCTCATTTCTTTTTCTCACAGCCTACAAATCAAAAGCTTATTCAAATACAGCCTTAGTTAACTCACAAAAACAATTTACCAACCTTACCTTTTCTATGATCAATGCTTCACATATGTTAATCCACAAAATCTCTCATGCAGAATTTGCTACTACCCCAACATAAAGATTTCTATGGTCATGGTCACAGCACTTGCTTCCAATCTCCAATTAAACATGATTACATGAACACCCCAATTAATCCTTTGTTAATGGGGAGGTTTGCAAGGAAGTGATCGAGTAGTTGTGAACTTCCCAATGCAAGACACACGAAGGGAAAGGCCTAGCTAGGTTAGCTAGGTTACATGTTAGACAAGTTGAAATAAAATGGCATACACAGTGGTGTGAGTTCCAATGTTCAGCCAGCTCAACCAGTAACCTGGATCTTGCCCGCCATGTGTCTGATGTTAGGGTGTTACCAATTCTACTACCACTACCTGTTTCTAGGGTTAGCATTCCCTGTACATTATCATCAATGATATGGGTTGGCCAAATCATGTTTCATCTTCATCAATTTGTTTTATGAACACAAAAAGATAAATCAAGATCTCTGATCATGAGAGTTTGAAAAAGAGGTTCATGACATCACAAACCTTAGATGCTCCTTCCCAAAACCCAATATTTGATACTGGTGGGAATGAGTCCAAAATGGATTACTTTTTTTTATAAAAACAGACATGACTTGAGCTGCCAAGTTTTTTTTTTTTCTTTTAACTTTTATGTCCATGTGGATCAATGTTATCTTGCTTTGTAGCTTATAATAATTTGAGAATGGATGTTAATTAAATACGGTACCAACATAACGATGAGTTGCCATTTAGGCTGTCTTTATTTGCAGTGCAAATTTAATTAAATGGGTTTCAAGTTTTGCATTTGGTTCAGTTTTGCATCTGTTCGTTTGTTTGTGACATGATCTGCATTTTTATCTGACACAATATTTGTACTTTTTGTCTCATTTCCACCAGTGAATTGGTCAAATTTTTGTTTCCCAAAAACTGATGAAAATTTTGCACCAACTCCTCCCTACATATAAAATGGGGACTAAATCATCTTGCTTCTTAGTTCTTACTCACTATCAAACAAATATCCCTCCCACTATCTTGTTCTCTTTCAAATATAGCAGGGACTGGGGACACACATTATTTTATTAGTCAAATCTGAAACAAAGGTAACTGCGACATTACACTTAGCCTATTTGCACTTCCATGCATTTACACAATTACACCATCTATCATGTCCTACGTGGAGATGAACTGGACAAAAAATCAGCTTCAATACAATTGGAATAAATTTTTACACCTCATCAAGTGGTGCCTATTTTAGCTGGTAACCCATTCAGTTGGCCAGTCAACATCCTTTATTTGAAGGAAAAACTCTCCATGTAGTCAATCCAATGGGCATGTGCGTACAACCCTCCCACCATTACTAACCCCACTAATTGGGCCTAGCACATGACTATGTTGGATCTCCTACCAGACTGCTACTACATACATACCCACAGGACACAGGTGCGCATTGTCATTCATGGGGAGATACTCCAAACACACCAAGCTAGTGTCTTGTGGGTATGAATGTGGGTAGGAAATCCAAAGTGGCATATAGCACCTTGCACCATGTCTAAGTGGGTCTCTCTACTGTATATGTGCCAATTGCAACATCATATACTTCCAACACTACTTGTTCAAGTAGTTCAAATTAAACAACATTTCTCTAAGAATGCACAAATATTCCTCGTATATTCCAAAGTCACCCAATTTAAGGTGAGGTTCTGTCTGGACATCAAGAAATAGAAACCGGATTCAATCAGTGCAAAGTCCGTTTGAATAGCTTTTATGTCAATAGGATTAAACATCTCCTAGACAAAATAGTATTCCCGTATCAGAGTGCCTTTGTGCTGGCAATAGACAATTAATGATAATATCCTAATTACACATGAGATTATTCATTCGATGAAAAAGAAGAAAGAAAGCTCAGGGATTGTGGCCTATAAAATTGATATGAAAATTGCCTATGATAAATTAGAATGGGAATTTATTGAAAAAGTTTTGAAGAAATTTGGCTTTCATGAGAAATGGATTGCATGGGTAATGGCATGTATTAAAACAGCCTCCTATAAGATTTTAATCAATGGGAGTCCAACAGACGAATTTAAACCCAGTAGAGGTATTAGGCAAGGAGACCCTCTTTCTCCTTACATTTTCGTTCTATGTGCTGAAGCTCTTGCAAAGAAGTGAGGGAAAATGAAGAGCAGGTTGATTGCAGAGTTTCGAGAGGGAGTCCAAAAATTCCCATCCTGCAATTTGCAGATGACTGTTTTATCTTTGCAAATACTACCATTTCTGCGTGCTTAAAAGTTAAGGAAATCATTACAAGTTATGCAAAGGCCTCAGGCCAATGTCCAAATTTTAACAAATCTGTTGAGTTTTTCTCAAAAAATACATCGTATAGATTCTAGAAAATGCTCTCTAAAATACTCAGAATCCCTCTAGAGACTAAATCTAATTCTTATTTAGGGGTCCCCATCATCACTGGAAGAGTTACAAAGAATACATTTACTTAGATTAAAGAGAAAATGATGAGTAAATTGGCAAATTAGAAAAAACATTCCCTATCAACTGTGGGTAGACCAACTCTCATCAATTCAACAACAAACATGATGTCTCAATTTATAATGAATTCATTCAAAATCCCTAAAAATGCCATTGATGAATTGGATAAAATCCAAAGAGATTTTCTTTGGAACAATACTACTAATAAGAAATCCCCCCACTTAATGAATTGGGAAAAAATCTCCACTCACAAAAGGTGGGGTGGTATGGGAATAAGAAGACTCTGCTGGGTCAGTGAGGCCAGCTTGGCTAAGTTAGGGTGGAAGATTTTGAACAAAAAAGGTAACTTGTGGGTAAAAGTTGTTAAGAGCA